CTCTTCTGCGGGATGCCTCCTTGTTTGCCAACGAATTGGCCCAGGTACCCTTTCTGGACGAGTTCTTCAATTTGCCGTCGGAGAATGACGCAATCATCTGTATCATGCCCTGCTCTCCGATGGAATCGACAATATTGGTTGTGGTTGCGCTTGGCAGTCACCACATCACACTCCTCCGGAAAGTCGACTAAACCTTGCTCCTCCGCGTAGTCGAGGATGGCCCCGACCGGCTGAGCAAGCGGAGTCAATTGCTTGACGGGCTGTAGCGGTCCGCTCGGGACGTCCGCCTTGCCCTTGCCTCTACTTTTGTTGCCTTTGTACTTGTTGTTTTTGTTGCTAGCTTTGCCGTCAGCTTTCTCAGCACCCGAACCGGCTTCCTTCTTCTTTTCTTCTTTTGCACCTTCTTCCTCATCTCTTTTCCTCTGCAAGGCGTCCTCCGCCTCGGCTTGTCGGTCGGCCGGCCGAGTGCCTCCTTGTACGAGGTGGGGGGACTTCTGACGAAATCTTTGTAAAGCTCGCCCGATCGGATAGAGTTTGTGAACATGGCCACCCCGGTCCTGTCATCAAGGCCCTGAACCTTGACTGACTCGGCCCTCCACCTCGCTAGGAAGGTCGACAATGATTCATTCTTCCCCTGTTTTAGGCCGAACAGGTGGCTGGAGTTTTTCTTGATGTCTCGGGAGCTCGCGAACCTCAAGAGAAAGCGCTGAGCCAACTCACGACAATTCGTGATACTCCCGTCGGGTAGAGAGTCATACCATTCACGAGCCGGGCCATCCAAAGTGGCAGAGAAACCGCGGCATCGGATGGCGTCCTCGTACCCCATCATGACCATGTAGGAAAGGTACCGAGATACATGATGCTGGGGGTCAGAAGCGCCCTTGTATGCTTCAATGGCGCAGGGCTTGTAGCCCCTCGGCAATGGCGCATCCATGACCGCCCGGGTGAAGGGTTCGGGTATCCGGAGGTCAGCCGTGTAGGGCTCCCCCCCGACGACCCTCCTTCTCAACTCGTCAAGGCGCTGTCGTAGATCTTCCACCTCGGCCGGCGGTGGGTTCCACCGGACAGCTCCAGCGCGGGGCTGAGCATGTCCGGCGGCACCTCCAAGTCGTCCGTGCATGTGAGGTCGGGGCCCCACGTTTTGCCTCTCCGTGGAGCCAGTCCGACTGCTCGCCCGGTGAGAGTGGCGAGAGGGCTCGCCTCCTTCCATCTGCGTTGGGTGCCCCTGCTGAGCGCCCCTCCCCGTCTGCCGATGGGGTCGGCTAGGCTGTTGGGAGACTTCTTCCCCCCGCCGATGGGAGACTTCTTCCTCCCTGTTTTGGTTGGATCCAGAGCGTCGCTCATCACGCCGCCTGGAGGACACCTCCACATCCGCTGACGTCTGTTGACGGGCAGGCTCATCCACGTTTCCGCTAGACACCATCTGTTGGAAATTTTGAGCCAAGGTCCCCAGAACCCGAGTTGCCTCCTATAGGGCTTCCACCCCGGCATTGAGTCAAGCCGGGTCCATGCGCGGAGCATGACGTCGGCCTCCCCACCGCCGGCTGCGGACCGAGCGCTCACCCTGGGTGTGGTTGAGCGTCGCCCTTAGGTCGCCGTGGCCTGATAATTGGTTCCGAAGGTCGCCTTGGCGCGCTGCCCTCCTGCCCTGTACATGGTTGTCGAGGGCACGCTGGCGGCCAGACCGGGTGGACTCCTCAGTGTGGACTGAGACATGGTCACGTCGAGACGATATTCCGGCCATCTTCCTAGGTGATTCCTACTCAAGTGATGTGAGAGACAATAGAGGCTCTCAATGAAAGCACCAATGTTGGTCCAAAATAGGACGTTCGTAGGCTTTTAGGAAAGCTACGTACGACACTCAAGAAAGAAATAGGAAAGTACGAATATGGAAAGTTAGCCAGAAATAGCATATCTGTATTTGAAATTCGAATTGCCTTTTATAGACGATTACAAATGGTAACCGCCGAACATAATAATGACTAAATTAATTACAACATTAATACGGAATTAAACACATAATTAAGTCGCGCATTGATTGTTGGCCGTTACTCTTCCTGGCTGGCAGGTCAGCCTGGCTGGCAGACTGGACGCTTGAGCTCCCTCCTGCTGGACTGGACGGTGGGCTTCCCGCTAGGCTGGAGGAAGGCTTCTGACCGGGCTGGAGGCAGGCTCCCGGGTAGGCTGGAAGGCAGGCTCCCCGTTGGGCTGGAGGCAGGCTCCCACCTGGGCTGGACCGCAGGCTCCCAGCTGGACTGGACCGCAGGCTCCCAACCGGGCTGGTGGTCGGCAGGCTCCTGGCTAGGTTGGAAGGCAGGCTCCCCACTGGGCTGGAAGGCAGGCTCCCCACTGGACTGGACGGCAGGCTCCCCACTGGGCTGGACGGTAGGCTCCCCACTGGGCTGGAAGGCAGGCTTCTGGCTGGGCTGGTCGACAGACTCTCTTGGGCTTCCGCTCCTTGATTGCCCTGATTGGTTGGGCCGACTCGAGCTCTAGGTTGCTGGGCTTGGGCCCGCTGGTCCAAGTTCGGGGCCTAGGCCGATTAGGCTCTGGGCCTGGTCCCATAACCCCATCAAGTAGGAGCATCAGCTCCACCACCAACATTTGCACCCATTATTTCTATAACAAACAAACACAATGTTAGAATTTAGAAATTTAAACAATAAGCTTCAAAATAAGGAAATAAAACATGAGAGAAGCATAAAACTTATACCTTTTCCAACCTTTCTACTTCATCAATGTTTTCTTCAGTCGAGATAGGCTGGTGAGCCGTTCTCAACCAATCTTGTGCACAAAATAAGGGCTTCCACAATTTTACAACTTAATGAACTCCTAAAGCAGTCCAAAACCCTACCACTTGTACCGAAAGTGGACTCAGAAGCAACTGTGGAAATGGGAACACCAAGTACATCCCTAGCTAGCTTAGAAAGTATAGGAAACCTTTCACTATTTAACTTCCACCATCTTAGAATATCAAAGTCCTGATCTTCCTCAATTACGGGCTCAGCTAGATATATTTGAAGTTCAAATTTTTTAACTCCTAACTGACCACTCTCAAGCTTCTTCTTTTTTAGATCAATCTTAAACCTGGACACAGGTCTATTTTCAGAATTACCACACTCCATAGATGCTCCAGAAGTAAAAGTAAAATTATAACTTCCACTAACAAAGTCACAGTAACTTGAAACATAATCAACAAATAACTCAGTTAGATCAGACTTCACTTTCAGAAAGAATTCAGCACCTTTTTTGTCACCATATAAAGCATTCAGCTGAAATGGCATATACTCAAACTTGTCCCTAGGATCTAACACATTAGCATAGAAGATGAGAAAGTTCATCTTTTCAGGATCACCCCAGTACTTATCTAATTTGCTTTTCATAGTAGTCCCCATTGCACTGACAAAATCAGATGGAGAGGCAACCATATCTTTAAGGACGAGGAACAAGTCAGATATTTCAGAAAAAAGGTATTAGCAGTAACATAGAGTGAGCCATAAAATCTTAGTGTCATTTCACAAAGACTTTGGAGAATGGTCACAAAAGGTTCAACTGCAATCCAATCTAAGACATCAGGAATGTCAGTACTCAAATTAGTACTAAATGCAGTTTCATTCTCCTCATAAGCTTCAAACACTTTCTCATTACAACCATGAACAAACAGTAACAAAAATGCTTCCACAATCCACAGGGGTCCATCTAATGAATGCAAAAATGCAACCATGATCTCACAGTAACAAAAATGCTTCCACAGTCCACATAGTTCATATCTCACAGATAATAATCATAATATAATCAGTACATGTAAGTTTGGAACAATCAACAAACTGGTTTACAGAAGGATAAGAGCACTTTGCTTTTTCACTTTTCTACAGTCTCTGAAGAACCCATTTCACTCTTTGTGCTCCTTTAAGTACTAGAGTACAAAAGGCTTCTTCATCAAAACAAGAAGACAATTATGTACAACAGACAACATAACAAGTAAGCAACACATGATAGATTGATAGGTGTATATCAGGCTTCCACATCTCAAACTATACACATCTGGACTTATATAGGTGTATACAAATACATCTCAAACTATACAGATCTGGACTCATATATAGAAAGCCAGAACAACATCTCCACGGTAGGCGACACCTCAATATACAATATATAACTTCCACACTTCGACATTCATATTTCAAATATATAGATTTGAAAATCTGAATGCACTATAAGAGCTGTACATATGCGAACTCAAAAATAAATGCTCAACAGTCAGCATTCAGTAAGACAGTAACTCGGTCAGGTGTATATATATAATAATATACATCAACAATTAACAGGGACAACTGGACAAACGAACATTTGAACAGATCTGTACATGATTGAACTCAGAAATCAAGTGTGAAGAACTCAACTCTCTCAACATGCAACTTTCAGAAACATATAAGACCATCACAACTGACAACTCAGAACATGCATGCACCATCAAGGACTCAACATACCATTATACGAACATGTTTAAGTATTTTATATCTCAACGGCTAGAAGAAGAACCAATTTGCACTCACAACCAAGTAAGTAACCAACTCGCTCGGCTAGAAGGAGATGAAGGCGTCCACTAGGTTGACTGGTTGAGATCTACAACCCTACAACGGCGACAACGGTGGACGACGAAGTGAGAAGTCAGAGAATAGAGAGTGTAAGTTAGGGTTAGCCGCTTAAAGAGTTAGAGATAGAGTTAAGGGGAAGGGAGTGGGATTAATTCGGGTTATGGGTTATGGGCTTGTGGGAAGTGGGCTTAGGCTATGTCGTGTTTTCGGGCGGGTCGATTAGGGATTAGGAAAACCCTACCTGAGTTAGTTCGGACCATAGGAAACGGACTGACAGGTCGGTTTTATGGTGCGGGTTTTTCAGGTAGGGTCGGATTTGCTCAGCCCTACCCTATCTATTGCCCACCCCCAGTCTAAACCATTCCTTTGCCTAAAACAGCCCACCTTCTACAACCCAAGCTCGGTGAATTTATATTTTCGAACTGTAAAGGCTCCGCGTGTCAGTGTTGGGAAATGTCGGACTGCTTCCAGCGAAAGATCGAAGTGCGGAGTCTCTCCGGCGAGAAGACATTTGCTTCGGTTTCGTCGGACCTTAACGTTCAACAACTAAAGCTCATTCTCAAGCAGACCTTTGTCCCTGCATCTTCTTCCCCCAATTTTCATCTCTTTTTCAAGGCAATTGCATTCTTCCTGCAGCCATATATTTATTGCTTCTTTATCTGTGTGTGCTATGCTTTGCATACATACGTTTATATCTTTGTTTTCTTTCTAATCGTTTCGATAGTAATGCATATGTTTAGTTATGTATGACTGTATGAGTGTGTTTGTTAGCGTGCTACTATTAGTTTGGCATGATAGTATAGTTACCTGAAAGAAAAACCGAATTTCAGGTACCTCCACCCAAGATGGAATAGCTTTATCGGAGTATACTCCCTCCATCACAAAATAAACTTTTCTTGGATTGTCCCAAAATAATTATTTAATTTCTTTTCATTTTAGTGAAAGAATTAAGTGATTTATTACTTCTTTCATCTATGTTCTATACATAAATCTCTACACCACAATTTATTTTTCTAAGTTCACGTGTCCTGAACATAAAGGAAAGACCACTGAGAGCCTTACACACACACACAGTTAGTTATGCTACAAGCTTAATGACCATCTAAATTGATTATTATTCACTATAATATACGGAGTAATGTTTTGTGGCGAAAGTCCCTTCATAGTATTGCTTTTAAAGTTTTATTTTGCGTTTGTGTGATTTGTTGGTTGGCACTAGATAGTTAGTCTTGATACTTGTTGGAAATTACGTTTATGTAGGAGTCGTTCACTTATTAAATTTACTTCCTCCCCCATGTGTTGCTCTGTTCAGGGAACAAAATTGGCACTAGAAAATAGGTTAAGCAGCTATTCACTTGGTGATGGCGATTTTTTGGTTCTTATTCCTTTTGCAAAGAAGGATAGAGACAAGCCAGAACAATCTGCAGCACCCTCAGATGTGTCAGGATTCGCAACTTCAAAGCTATCTGAGTCAACGTGGGCTGATACTGTGGAAGACCTGTCAGTTTTGAGCAGTGCATTTAGCTGCAAAAATCAAAATGATGTTGAGTTAGAGATTAATTTGAAAAAATGCAACAAAAATTCCAACATTCCGTCCTGTTCATCGCAGAGAAAGCGCAAGCTAAATTCCCCTGATATCAAGACACAAGTTCCTACTGAGGAGTTCATTTTTGACATACTGCAGTCATCTAACAGTAGTATAGATGAACAGACATCTAAGTTTGTTATGATTTTAGACTCAGTTAATTGCTTAACTGATCCGAGTTCAGGGAACTGCATATGCATTGAAGCTCACAGACAGAACAGTGAAATGGATCCATGTTCAGCCAAAAATAAATTGTGCATGTGCCCATCATGGTTGAAACATAAAATGAAGTTATTTTCTTTCATAAATGTATACTATGCTGTCATTCAACTTCAAAGTGGACAAGTTACTGTGTACTCTCTGAAGAGAGCACTCGATAAACTTGGCAAATTTGGATTCCAAGCCAGTATAGTAGATGTTGAGCATCTCACTGACCTGTGTGCAAAGGTACTAATTATTAGTTGGATCCCAGTTATTGTGTTCCCAATTCATTCAGTATTTCAATATCAACAACGCTCTACTTGAATTATATATGTCGAAATTCACTACTACTTCCCGTTTTTATTACAAAGCATCCAGTTATTGGTTATGAGACAACTTGCATGAGTGTAGACTGTAGAGGTCCATAAAGTACATTTAAATTTCTCCCAAGAATACCTTTTGTTGTGCTTTACAGGTTATAACGATTGTTGACAATTATCATGTGATAATGAATTCTTCCAACCGCATTGTTATTCTCAAAACTTCAACTGAAGAGAGAGATCAGCATGATGGTAAGCTTGTTCCCCACTACTTGCAAGTCTTACTTCCACATTAGTTGTGTGTTTCCTTTGGGATTGAAGTATTGAACCAATGGTGTTTTGCAGATGCTAAAAAATGTATCTCACAATCAAAGATTGTCAACTCAATGAAGAGAAGGCAAGAGTGCTTCAATACAAGTCTCATGAAGGCCTTAAGATCATTTGTGGTATGTGAGTTTATGCATGCACCTTTTCTTTGAACTGGCTACTGGCGTCCTTGGATATTTCGTATTCATATGCATTTAACACGAGGTCCTGTGATGTTCAAAAGTTTGTTTTGGTTTCTTGTATCCATTTCACTTTGAGTACTTGGAGACTACTGGTTTTGGCTTCTATATTTTGTTAGTTGATGCTATGCCATCCCTGGTTGATGATTTTGCAACTCTTGTTTTTGTCTTATGTTATTTGCATCTTTTAGTCTGATTCCTGCCTTGTTTAGCTTCTGATGACTTGCATATATTGGCATTGTCTTTCAATTCTATACCATTGCCATATCAAACTATTGTCAATTCTATAGGCAAACCATCATCATTACTATAACAATAATCATCATCAACGCTTAATTCCAACTATGTTTAGGTTGGTGACATTGATCATATATGTCAATTAGTTTTCAAAAAAGTAGTTAACTTTATAATTCATGCAAAAAACAATGAAATGAATTCCAAATCTGTCATCATCATATGTTGTATCCACTTGCCTGAAATACCTAGACTGGACAATGAGTTAATAATCAAGATAAATGCTAAACTCATGCCCCATTGCAAGTAGATAATGTAAATAGAACATGCACATCATGAATAGGAATATAGGTTAACCAAAGGAAACAGAAAGGTACTAGCGTTAAATTTATTGTGCATCAAATAGAACTATCGAAACTTTATAACTTCAAGCAGTTTGGGGGGTGGGCCTTGAAGTGACTTGTTTCTGGGGCTCTACATAGTTTATAGATAACCAAAAGCTTTGGCATGTGAAATATTCAAGTACGAAAAAACTTCCCTTCTTAGCAAGATCCTTGTGATTTATGGTGTGTTTGGATATTCTTCGCTCTGCAACACATTTAGTCTTTTACATGAGCAGAACAGTCTTCTTTCTGTATCCATAGTTTTATTACTATCTGAACTCATAAATAACTAGAACATTATCATGCAGCTTGAAGATGGGATCAACTTTTCTACTTTATCCTTGGAATATTTCATTCTGTATGTGAAGCAGTGCAGTGAGAAAAAGGGGAAACCATCAGATTCTCATTCGTTTAAAGCACTTTGTCATGTAGGGTTCACTCTTTGTAATCTCTTCTTTCTTTGTAGTTATTTACATTATTGCTGTACCAACAGAGTAGGCAGACTGTGGGTGCTGAGAAAAATTTATGACATAATGAAGCTGTCTTGGTTGAAAGATGAAATGTTGACAATTTGACATATCACTTTATTACTATAAAAACATCTTAATATTAGTATCTGGTTTTGGGGTGAGGTTAAAATTCTCAATTCCATTGCTAATGATTTTTCCTTGATCTACAACTCTTTGCATATTGATTCTTTCTAACATGGATATCTAAATTACCATTTAACGGAGGATCTTGATACTTCAGATCATTTATGGTTGCTCCTTCCTCATACCCCTTTTACAATTATGATGTCCATATGAGGACATTTTTTGACGTTTTGATGGTAGTAAATGCTTATGCACATCATCATAGTTTTCATGTAATTCTTCTCCTTTCAACACATTGCAGATGCCTCTGTGTCGTAAGAGTGTTGATTATTACCATATTATTACTGGCTCACTGCTATTAATTTTATTACGATAAACTTGTATCCATCTTTGGGCAGTGAAGCATTTGTGGGTTTAATTCTACTTGGACATCCTAATCTGTTATGATCTTTCACAAATATGGTGCTGATTCCCTGTCTAATAAATTTGTCTTCATCTTGAAGGATACAAACCCCATGCTTCCTGTCGAAATGTTGGAACATCTTAGGAGATGCATTGGATCTAAAGGACAGGTTACTTGTTCTAGATGCTTTCCTGTTTATTTTTCCTCTATGAGTAGTGCTATACTGCTATATTTTCTCTTTGATTCCCTTTCGAGTGATAGTGGCTGAACCTAACAGGACATAATAATCAGTAGCCTACAAGCTTGTATATATTTTATGTAGGTTGTTCATGTTGAAGAGATCAATGCTCGGAATGCCACTTATGTTGAGATTCCAAGTGAACTTTCAGAACTTACAAAGGTTGCACTGAAAAATATTGGTATTACTAGGTTATATAGCCACCAGGTATGTCATTATATTTTGAGTGCAATTTTTCTATACCACAAGGGACATTTCTTACCAGGTATCTTTTAATTGTTGCTCAATATATGCAGGCTGAGTCGGTTCAGGCATCTCTTGCCGGCAAAGATGTAGTTGTGGCAACATTGACATCCAGTGGGAAATCTCTTTGCTACCACCTTCCTGTTCTTGAAGTTCTATCCTACAATTCGTTAGCATGTGCAATATACCTGTTCCCAACTAAGGTTTGCTGACTTTGCTACTTTCTGAGTGGTTAATTGTTTGTGACTTTGTTGAATGGTTCAGATTTTGTTGTTGAAGGCTCTTGCACAAGATCAACTAAGAGCTTTATTGGCCATGACAAATGAACTGGATCATAACATAAACATTGGCGTTTATGATGGAGACACTTCTCTGTCAGATAGAACGTGGCAACGTGAAAACTCTAGACTGGTATTGCAGTAAGTTTTGATTGTTTATGTAGCAGAAATATTTTCTTTGTTCTTGTGATCTCTTAAGTCTTAAGGTCTCGTTGTCCCGTGTGCGGATGCTGAGCTCATCATTTACTGATATGCAGTTGATCACAAATCCAGACATGTTACATATGTCTATCTTGCCATTTCATGGGCAATTCAGACGGATCCTTTCTAATTTAAGGTGAAATTTTAATGCACAATTGCACATTTACTTGTCAATTGCAAATGAAGTCAACTCCTTTCCTCTTGGAGTTCTGCTTTCACTCTATAGTTAGTTCACCAAGTTTAAGATTGTAACTATATGTGGTTTATAGTGTTCGTTTTTTCTGTGACTGTTATTATGACTCACTTTACCTTTTATTAGTTGCTTCTGTAGTCTTTTGACAATATTTATGAGTAAAAATTGTAGGTGTATAAATTGTATGTAAAAAAGTAGGGAAATTTTTATGGAGACATGTGGAGTCATATTGCATATGTGGCTTCATCATAGCCATTCACTTTTAGAGCGGGATCTCTCACTATAAAAATGAGTGGTTATGAGGAGGCCACATATGAACATGACTCCATAGTAGAGTCATATACTCACATGTGGCTCCTTAATTTTTTTTTGGGAAAAAGTAGGGGAAAGTAGATAAAATAGCAAAAAAAATGGGAGAGAAGATGAAAAATAAGAGCATTAATAATTTTTTATAAGATCATATATGTGAATTATATGAACTGTATTTCATTATAATGAATCTTGATATGAAGAACTATACAAGTAGCTTAAAACTAGAGCACTAGGGTTACTATACAAGATGGGCTAAGCCCAATACAACTAGGGTTTCAACACTCCCCCTCAAACTGGAGCATATAAATTATATGCACCAAGTTTGTTACAAATATATTGCATCCTAGGTCCTCTAAGAGACTTGGTTAAAATATCTGCAAGTTGATATGTTGTTTTGACATAATGAGTAGTAATATGTCCATTTGTGATTTTTTCTCGAATAAAGTGACAATCAACTTCAATGTGTTTAGTCTTCTCATGATACACTGGAATGGAAGCAATGTGCATTGCAGCTTGATTATCACACATTAGCTTGACGGGTTTCATGCTTCCGTATTTTAATTCTTGGAGGAGATGCTTCAACCATAGTATCTCACATGAAGTAAGGGCCATTGCACGATATTCTGCTTCAGCACTAGACCTGGCAACCACATCCTGTTTCTTACTTTTCCATGAAATTAAATTCCCACCAATCAAAATGCAATATCCAGAAGTAGAACGTCTATCCATTGGACATCCAGCCCAATCTGCATCACAATATCCAACAATGTCACGGTGCCCTCGATCTTCAAAGAGTAATCCTTGTCCTGGAGTTTTCTTGATGTATCTCAAGACTCGGATAGCTGCGTCCCAATGTCCATCACATGGCTTATCAAGAAATTGACTAAGCACATTGACAACAAATGAAATATCTGGTCTTGTGATGGTAAGAGTTCAACTTCCCAATAAGCCTTCTATATCTCTCTTTATTGGGCAGGAGGTCACCTATTCTGACACGAGTTTGACGTTTGGATCCACCATCCACTGGCCTACAATCCAACATACCTGCTTCCTCAAGAATATCCAATGCATATTTCCTCTGTGAGAGCACAATTCCATTTCTTGATTGGGCAACCTCAATACCAAGAAAGTACTTTAGTTTTCCCAAGTCTTTTGTTTGAAATTTGCTAAAAAGATATTCCATGAGTTGGGCAATTCCTTGGTCATCATTACCTGTAATGACAATGTCATCAACATATACAACAAGAAAGATACATTTATTGCCTGCAGAATGTCTATAGAATATGGAATGATCTACATCACTCCGAGTCATGCCAAAACCACGAACAACAACACTAAATCTCCCAAACCATGCACGCGGGGATTGTTTCAGGCCATATAAAGAACAACGTAATCTGCAAACCAAACCAGACTCCCCCTGAGCAACAAAACCAGGTGGTTGCTCCATATAAACCTCCTCATGTAAATCACCATGGAGAAATGCATTCTTAATATCCAATTGAAACAATGGCCAGTGGCTCATTGCTGCCATGGATAAAAAATTAGACGAACGTATGCAATTTTTGCAACAGGAGAAAAAGTGTCAGTGTAGTCTAATCCATAGATTTGTGTATACCCCCTTGCAATCAGACATGCTTCAAGACGATGAGTAAAACCGGACTGACTGGTCTAGGTCGTCGGAGACCTAGCTGTCTGAAAACACTGGCGGTGTCGCTCGCAGATGAGTAAAACGGAGTAGATCTGCAAAATCGGTCAGTAAACCGTGGGTAGAGAAGCGGCGCGTGTAGGCGCGTGAATGAGTTCGAGCTGGTACGGTTTCTGGCGGGTTGGTCGTGATGGTGCGCTGAGCAAGGCGGTAGGCGTAAATTTGATAAATCACTACCGGAAGTGCTCCAACACCTAGCGCGGCTACTGTTCACGCCGGAAATACTCGCTGGAAAAACAGTGTCCTAACTACAGTGCGCCGCCATATAATGAAAAACAGTGGCTCTGATACCATGTGAATTATATGAACTGTATTTCATTATAATGAATCTTGATATGAAGAACTATACAAGTAGCTATATTTATAGCAAAAACTAGAGCACTAGGGTTACTATACAAGATGGGCTAAGCCCAATACAACTAGGGTTTCAACAATATATATTAAGGAACTTGGAGTAAGTAATAAAAAATTGAGAAATTACCCAAAATAGGACTAAAAACGTTTATATATTCCAAAATAGGACTATCATATTTTTATTCCCAAAATAGAACTAATTACTGTCATGTTTTGGCAGTACCAGACTTTAAATGTGGCGGTATTTTCCAAACTCGACAGTAATTACTCCTATTTCGGGAATAAAAATATGGCAGTCCTATTTTGGAAATTTAAAACTTTTTTACTCCTATTTCAGGAATTTTCCCTAAAATATTCTGTACAAGGAAAGTGGAGCAATTAATACAAGAAAGTGTGAGTATCAATATCATCATCATCGAAAATATATTAATATTATTATCATTTTTACATGCTTCTGTTCTCTTGAATTTAGGTTTATCATTTTAGATGAAGCACATGCTTATAAGGGCGCATTTGGATGTCATACAGCCCTTATTTTGAGAAGGCTTCGTCGGCTCTGCTCGCATGGTTACCTTCCATTTCAGTCTACATAATTTTAGTTACTCTATACTTTCGCCTATAAATGTAGGACATATCTGCTAATGAATTCTCATGCAGTTTATGGTAGCAATCCTTCTTTTATATTTTCTACTGCCACTTCTGCAAACCCTGCTGACCACACCAAGGTTGTGACTTTTGCTGTTCATAAATTTATCAGTGTGTTGGACTCAGGGTATGGTTAATGATTTGTACCATTTTCGTAGCTCATTGGTCCAGTTGGTTACATTCATATTCTAACCTTGAATTTTCCATCTCTTGACCCTCTCTAACAGCAAGATAGTTAATTTTTCGAGAAGATACGTCATACATATAATTCTTGTGTTAGGGTGTGATGTGTTTTAGTACTAGCACGCAAATAAACCTCAAACAGGGGCAGTTGCATTCAATATGAACCAAGCTATACTCTCCCAATGGCTGTTTATATTGTTAACCAATTAAAAGTTCTGATATGTATAGGAGCTTGCAAATTTGCCAGCAATTGAGCTGATTCAGAATGATGGTAGCCCTTCTGGTCCAAAAACATTTGTGCTCTGGAATCCTCCTGTGTGTCTCAGAACAGTAGGGCCTTGATAAATGTTTTGTTTTTCCACTACTCATTGGTCATTTTGAGGAGTATCACTTTGGCATCATTCTTTCGCAGGTTTCAAAGAGAAATAAAAAGGGTACAAATGCTATCAACTCTACTGATGGATATAGAAGTATGGTTGCGGGAAGATCAAGGTAATGCACGTTCATTGTCTGTTTTCGGGAGAAATGCTCAGCTTATTTCCTTTCTCCATTGTTTTCCCGAGTTTAAATTAATGTGTAGAGACCTTGATCATTGTAATTTTGCTAGTTTAAATTAATATAGCAAAAGTAAAAAAGAATATCAGTTGTAGTTAGTTGAATAGGTCAGTTGTCAGTTCCTTTGATTTAGGTGAGTTGCTGAGGTGGAAATGTGGAATGGTATAGTTGATGTTTGAAAGTTAATTGATTACCTCTGTATATTTATTCTGCCATTACATTTATCTGATAACTGTTAAATAAATAGAAATATTTCCCAAAATATCATCCAACTACAAGACAGAGTTTGAATCTCTACAGAAAAACACCAGTACAATAAAACTTCTAGGGGTTTTCCCCTAAAATTACTAAACTAAGGCTAATTTCCAAAAGAGTGAGCACATTTTAATTTGGACAAAAATGTGACTAATGCATAGCGACACATCCGCAGTGACATTCCTGCAGTGACATTTCCGTCATTGCTGGCCACAGTGACATTTCCACGGTGACATCTTCGCTATTGCCGACCACAGTGTCACCGCCACCGGCCACAGTGACACCGCCATAGTGACAAGAGACACAATTACTCCGGCACAGTGACACTGCCACAGTGACCGGCCACCGCTTGTGGTCACCGCCGTTCACCACCACCGGCCACCCGACATCAGTCCCAATCGTCAGTCCCCAACCTCCAGCAGCCAACCCCCTCTTCCGCACCCACCACAGCTTCCCCAAGACCATGATCAGACCTTCTTCCCAGCCCCATACATGCAGTCAGGCCCGCCACCGCCGACTGCCGCCGTCTGTGAACCCTAGCCACAGATCTGAAAATTAAAGCCGATGTCGCCGTCGCAGATCTGAAAATGTAGGTGAAGGTGTCGTCAAGGTTCTCCCTTTGTCCATGGAAGCGACGACCAAGCTAGATTCGTCTGCTGTCGAGCCTCTGGAGCATCAAAGGCGGAAGGCTGAGAGCGGAGGTTAAGGAGGCTGGAGGCGGAGGCGACGCAAGGTGAGCGGCAGTAGGCGGCGGCAGCTTCTCCCGGCTGCAGATGAGACGACGACGGCTCCTGGTTGCAGCAATGCTAAGGAGAGACGAGAATGAGCTCCCAGGTGCGCGAAGATGGAGCGACGAGTGAGATCGCAGATCGGCGAAGATGGAGCTCTGAAGCAGTGGTCCCTGCGGATACTCTGGATTTAATTACTCAGGATATTGTGGTCATTTCAGTATAAGTTGATCGCTTTTTTGTCCACTCGAATTTCAGTCATATTTTTGTCCCGTTAAAGCTGTGAAGTAATATCAGTGCCACTTTCAAACTTCTATATAGTAATACCCATACTCCGTATAAGAATAACCTCTATTTTATTATAAAATATTTTGGGCCCAACTTAAGATTCTTTAATGCATCCTTTCAGTTATGACCTCTCAATTGTAGTAAACTAGTTCAGTCGTAAGCAAGGTTTTAAAAGGCTAAAATGAGTCCCGAGCCAAGCTGAGATGTATATCTAACATGTACATATAAAATACTTGGGAAATATTTGTAAAGCTCATTTAAGTGTGAGGAAATAACTAATATAAAAGTCCTAAGAACCAAAAACTACTAACTAGCATGCAATAACAAATTTAATTTCAAAATAAAGTTTTAGAATTCATGAAAGTAACTAAACGTTTAAGCCACGCAGTCTAAAACACTTAAAATCAGGTACATAGAACTTAAAAGGAACTGCTACTGAACTAAGACTACTGAACTAGTAACATGCTTGGATGATTAATCTATCCTTGTTATGTAAGCTCTACACTAATGTACAGTGCAGCTCTGAAAAGAAGAGTAGGAGACTCCCAGGCTTCCCAGCCAAAGAGGTGAAACATAGCTAGCTTAAGAGAAAAATATCTAACTAAAGCTCTGAAGGTTTTGTATATTGAAATATTGAATTGGTTTAACTAACTTAATGAAGCCCATAGAGAAAAGCATTGTTGGGTCCGGTCTATGAGTTAAGGCCTGACTCTAAAGATTTTCTTGGTGAAAATGAGGTGTTAAAGTTGTAGGATGAGTTTATTCTTTACGAAAAATGTACATTCCTTCACATTTGGGAAAATGGTGATGTTAAGTTACATTAGACTGTATTGCTTGAACAGAGTTAATGTATATTTTTCAAGCTCCATAAACACATGCACACCATTATTATACTCATGCATATGGTGGTGGTTAGCTATTTGGTTGATGCATATTTACTTCTCAAGTGTTTTTCTCTTTTAAAGAGATGCTTTATATCTGATAATTATTAGCCTTTATGCAGTCCTATGGTGGAGGTATCATACATTTTTGCTGAAATGGTGCAGCATGGGCTTCGTTGTATTGCATTTTGCAAAACGCGCAAACTTTGTGAGCTTGTCTTAAGCTACACGTATGTGATATAACCTTAAATTTCTAATCTTGGTCTTTATATATGGAACATAACTTGTATGTTATGCTTGGCTATCATAAGACGCGAGATACTTCAGGAATCAGCACCTCACTTAGTCGATGTTATTTGTGCATACCGAGCTGGCTATGTTGCAGAGGTTTGCTACTGCAATTTCTCTCGCATATTTTTTCCCTTTTAACTGAACTTGTCTCAATAAGCATCAAGGCCGCTTTATAGTCTTACTTAAAATTAGTAGAACATGATTTGAGTGTCTGTAATCTGCTTCATTTTCTATTTTGAGCTGATTAGCTAAAAGAGCTACTATAGTAGCTTTGAATGAATAAAATTTGAAATTTCATTCATTCTCAAACAAAGCTTCGCATAGACAGAAGATAGCTCAAGGCAAGGGGGCCACAGGGATGAGGGATCCAGCACCTCGTCCTGGATTACCTCGTAATTCATTGTTGTCTTTATGTGGTTGTGTTTGAGTTATATATTAAGGAAGTTGCAAAATTAGCAAACTGCATGAGAGTGAGTCATCATTTTCACTCAATTCAGAATGGATCATGTCTACACACTTAACATGAGGTTCACTTGTCCTATGTTCAGAGGTCAAAAAGCTTGATGGAAGGGGATCGTAATTGAGGATCAACATTGTCACACTGTTTAATTTACTATATTCCTTATTTAACCTATAGAGAACTTTATTTTTTATTCTCATTTATGAACTGATTAGATGTACTATGACAAAAGCAACTACATATTTACATTTTGATTTCCATATCAGGTCTTCACTTAAATGGAATGTGTTGACATCATTTCTTGATGTAGCAGGATAGGAGAAGGATTGAGCACGACTTTTTTAGCGGTAAGATGTGCGGTATTGCTGCCACAAATGCTCTTGAACTGGGAATAGATGTTGGACACATTGATGTGACTTTACATCTAGGCTTTCCGGGTAGTATAGCTAGGTAAATGTTCAGTTTTTTCTTTAAATGGTCAGCTCCTTGCTGCTGTATGGTCTTGGTTTACTGGGCAGCCCCTTGTGTTTTTCACTCAGCTTATGGCAACAAGCTGGAAGATCAGGAAGAAGGGGAAATCCATCAATCGCTATCTATGTAGCTTTTGGAGGGCCATTGGATCAATATTTCATGAAGCTCCCAAACAAACTTTTCCAGAGTCCAGTTGAGTGTTGTCATATTGATGCCAATAACCCACAGGTTTTCCCCCTAAACACTTGCTATTATATTTTAATATTAATCCTCCTTCCCGACTTTATTAATACTCTTTCACCAATCTCTTAAGCTTAAATTTTGTTAAAATTACTTAATTTCTTAAATTTCTCATCTCCACAGGTGCTCGAACAACATCTGGCATGTGCTGCTTTCGAACACCCACTAAGCCTGCATCACGACAAGAAGTATTTTGGTCCTGGACTGGAAGGTGCAGTAATGACACTAAAAGATAAGGGATATCTGGGTACTGATGTGTCACGTGATTGTAGTGCTAGAATTTGGAGCTACATCGGGCCTGAGGTATTCTGTTGTTCGGTGTAGTTTCCAATTGCTCAGCTGAAGTATCGACAATTTTGACACTTTTGCACATCTTCAAGCTATTTTATTTCATTATTTTTTATTACATTTTCAGAAAGTTCCCTCAAATGCCGTAAATGTTCGGGCAATTGAAACAGGACGATACCAAGTAATTGATAAACAGAAGAATGAACTTCTAGAAGAAGTCGAAGAGAGTAGGGCATTTTTCCAGGTAAATGAGTTGCAAAGATCTAGTGAGGACTCACTTTAGTATTGAATTGTTCTTCCTGGGTCCTTGATATTTTCAAAGTTGGCTTATGTTAAAGTGCTAATATACCTTAACACTGCACTGGCCTACTGGGCCATTTTTAATTTAATTAGTTCAAGCTCATTTACAACTTGGAAAATACGTATTCCATCCGTCCCAAAATTTTTGTCCACTTTAACCATGCACGGATTTTAATACTTGAAACAGTGTGGTTGAGATTTATCTTGAAGAGTAATATTGTGAATCACTTATGGGTCATCTGGATTCTGGAAACAGTCTCCCTGTGCTTTAGTACAGAGGTAAGACTGTGTACATCCAAACTCTCCTTACCCCACCGAAGGTGTGGGAGCCTTTGCGGCACTGGGGTAATGATGATGATGAGTAATATTGTGAAACACATATTGCTTTCCTAAAAAAAGGGCAATACTTTTGCAGAGGACCAAAAATTAATGTGCACAGTTTGGGTCAGACTACGTACATCCGGACCCCCTTACCCCACCGAAGGTGTGGGAGCCTTTGCGGCACTGGGATAATGATGATGATGATGAGTAATATTGTGAACCACATATTGCTCTCCTAAAAAAGGGCAATAATTTTGCGGAGGACCAAAAGTTAATGTGAATAGTTTGGAGAGGGAGTAAAGGACAGCCTCAAGTCATTTATATAGTGATGAAAAGTGAAAACTTGAGAGAGAAAATGAACAAATGGGTTGTTAAGCAGTATGGATGTGTAGGTTTGAAGAATTAATCTTCCTTGAATATTATTGAGCCATCCGACAATGATATATATACAAGTTACAGATAAAGCCTAGTTGTTACAGATCCTAAAATATAGGATCTATCTATTCTGCGAGCTTATCTACTAGTTAGAGAGTTCTATCTACTCTAAGTCTTATCTATACAGTTCCGGATGTACAAATAATTAAAATAACAAATACATGTTACATTTTTCTACACTCCCCCTCAAGTTGGTAAGTATATATCATACATTCCCAACTTGCTTATAAGTAGTTCAAACACTGGTTGGAACAACCCCTTTGTAAAGATATCAGCTGTTTGTTGTTTGGTAGATATGAATGGTGTACACACAATTCCAGCTTCAATCTTCTCTTTGATAAAATGTCTGTCCACTTCAATATGTTTTGTACGATCATGTAGCACATGGTTGTGAGCAATATTAATGGTTGCTTTATTATCACAATATAACTTCATAGGTAGTTCCATTTTCATATTTAACTCTGAAATCACTCTCTTGATCCAAAGCAGTTCACAAATTCCATTAGCCATAGATCTGAATTCAGATTCTGCACTACTTCTAGCAACCACATTCTGCTTCTTACTCCTTCAAGTCACTAGATTCCCCCATACATAGCCAACATAATCTGCATCTGTAAAAGCTTCCACACTTCTATTGTCACCCCTTTTAAAAAATAATCCTTTCCCGGGACAGCTTTTCAAATACCTTAGGATTCTGTAGGTAGCATCTAGATGTTCCTGGAATGGATTATGCATGAATTGGCTAACCATACTAACTGCAAAGGCAATATCTGGCCTTGTATGTGCCAGATAAATCAATCTTCCCACAAATCTTTGATATTGTTGAACATTAACTGGTACTCCTTCCTTGACATCTCCTAACTTTTGATTAGGATCAATTGGAGTATCTATTGGTCTGCAGGCACTCATATCTGTTTCATGGAGTAGGTCTAGTACATACTTCCTCTGAGATACCACAATTCCCTTCTTTGATCTGGCTATCTCCATTCCAAGAAAGTACTTCAATTCTCCCAGGTCTTTGATCTCAAATTCCTGAGCCAGCTTCTTCTTCAGTGCAATCTCTCCCTTACTTGAGAACTTCATGAACAGTGTATGGTCTGCTTGGGCTTGCTTGAATCCCTGCCTCTTTATGAATTGAGTAAACCTTTCAAACCAAGCCCTTGGGGACTCCTTAAGTCCATATAAGGCTTTCTCCAGCTTGCACACCTTGGGGCTCATGTATACTTCCTCTTCAAGCTTCCCATTTAAGAAAGCATTCTTCACATCTAACTGTTGAAGAGGCCAGTCTAGGTTAACAGCTAGAGATAGAAGGATCCTTATAGTGTTTAATTTTGCAACTGGAGCAAAAGTTTCTGTATAATCTATGCCATAGGTTTGTGTATATCCTTTGGCAACCAATCTGGCCTTATATCTTTCAAGTGTACCATCTGCCTTGAATTTAGGGGTAAATACCCATTTGCATCCCACTGTTGGTTTGTTCTTGGGTAATTCAACAACCTGCCATGTCTGATTCTTTTCAAGAGCATTCATTTCTTCTAAAACAGCCTTCTTCCACTCAGGTTTAGATAGAGCTTCCTGTATGGTTAAGGGAATAGAAACAGTGGAAAGACTAGAGGTAAAGGCTGCAAATGATGCAGATAACTGAGAATAGGACAAATAGTTTGAGATAGGGTATTTAACACATGATCTTTTTTCTTTTCTGAGAGCAATGGGTAGATTTAGATCACTGGAATTATTACCTTTGTCATTTTCTGACATTGAGTCAGATTCATGAGCAGTGGCAGGATCAGGGATGTCCTATATTCTTTGATTTGGAACTCTCCTTTCATAAGCCTTGCCAAAAAATTTACTTGTCTGCTGTTCATCATCTTTCCTTAACTCAGAAAATTTTATTTCATTTTCTTTTGATTCTTGACTATTTTCTAGTGCATCTAACTGTCTATTATATTGTGCATCTAGACTAATGTCAAGAAATTCAAGTTTTTCATGGATATGTGACACATTATCACCATCTTCATTAGGAATCTCCCCCTGAAGATGAGTACAAAAAAAGTTGATTTTCAACAAAAACAGTGTTCATTGTTACAAACATATTTTTTGTTGTAGGGTCAAAACATTTATAACCTTTCTGTGTTGAAGATAGTCCTAAGAAAACACATTTTTTGCCTCTAGGATCAAATTTGCTTGCAGTTCTGTCAGGGTTGGTAATAAAAACTGTGCAACAAAAATTTTTTATGGGAAGAGAGTTAATAAGCCTAGTTTCAGGAAAACTGGCTTGAAGTGTATCAATGGGAGTTTTAAATCCTAGAGTCTTTGATGACATCCTATTAATTAAATATGTAGCATGTAAAACAACTTCTCCCCATAAATATTTTGGAATTCTAGCAGAAAACATGATTGCACGAGTGACTTCAAACAAATGCCTATTTTTCCTCTCAGCTATTCCTTTCTGAGCAGGTGTATTTATATAGGAACTTTGATGAATAATCCCTTTTTCTGCAAAAAAATTATTTAACTTTTTAGAAAAATACTCAAGACCATTATCACTTCTCACAATTTTGATATTAGTATTGAATTGAGTCTGAATCATTGAGTCAAATTTCTTGAACACCTCTTCAACCTCAAATTTTTCTTTAATAAAAAAAAAACCATGTGACCCGTGTGTGATCATCTATGATAGTTACAAATCACCTTTTTCCTTTCAAAGTTGAAACTCTAGATGCACCCCAAATATCACTGTGTACAATAGTAAAAGGACTAGTTGGCTTGTAACTATGAGGGATATAAGAACTCCTATGATGTTTGGCAAGTGCACACATATCACAATGAAATGATGAAGGATTTTTATTATGAAATAACTTAGGAAACAACCTTTTTAGATAGGAAAAACTTGGGTGACATAATCTATAGTGCATTAAATACACTTCATTATTACAAGGAAATGAAATAGTTTGCAGACAAGTTTTTTCTTGACCTTGTTTATTCAATTGTGTTCCTTCCAAGCTTGTCACGGCGTCGCCTAGGCGCCGACTAGGCGTCCAGGCGCTGGAGAGTGCTCGCCGGAGTGACTCGCCTCGCCGGAAGAAAAGAAGTCTCACTTGGCGTCGTCCAGGCGCGATGTTGGCGACAAGTCTGCGCCGTTTTTACATGTCGAACCCGAAGTCCCGAAGCCCAGAAAGATTTAGTCTTTTAATTAACAATAAAGCCCAAAGCCCCAAAATAATTTCATAATCTATAATCTAATAAACTTACAAATTAAGCTGCCCATCATCCAAGTCATCAATCTCCATAGAGAGTTAGAGACACAAGTCCGTTCCGGGAGCACAGAGACGACTCCAGCCTCCAGGAAGAAGACGATTTCCCACTTTCCCAGGGTTCTGCTCTCTTCTCGTCTGTCTAAGTGGCTTATGTTTTTAAGATTTTTAATTAATTCTATAGTTATACTACGTATTTTTAATTAAGATTTTTTGCATCAACCAACTCCCCCTTTTCCCAGGTTTATGTGTATATCCATTATCCATGTGTCCTACACTCTTACCTGAATTGCTGAGTCATCCTTTTTTGAAAGGATCCATTAGCTTAGCGTATTAATTTATTCTGCTTTTTAATTTATTAATTTCTTCTGTTATAAGTTACTACGTATAACTTATAAAATAATAAACTAATAATAAAGACTACAATAGTATGTATATAAATATATAATTACATATAGCATATACAAATATTGATATTTGATGTAAAATTTAGTTAGTAATATATTATACATAATATATAATTATATATATAATTGTATATTTAAATATATAATTATATATAACATAATATACACATGTAGGCGACTAGTCGCCTAATTGTCGCCTAGGCAGGCACCTTGTCGCCTAGGCGATATGGCAGTCCGCTGGCGCCGCGACTCGACTTTCCGCCGTGACAAGTATGGTTCCTTCATCAAAAACATATAGGCCATCCTCCTCTCTAGCACTGCAAATCATCCTCCCCGATGCCAGATCCTGAAAAATGCAATAAGAAGGATAAAATTTTACACAACACTGAAGGTCTTTGGTTATTTTGCTAATAGAGATAAGATTGCAGGAAAGTTTTGGAACATGTAAGACTTTAGAAAGGTTAATGGATGAGGAAATTTTAATATTTCCCATCCCTGATATGCCTGAAAAAGAGCCATCTGCAACTCTAACTTTCTTATCTCCTGCACAAGGTTGATATGAAGAAAAGAGATTTGGAATGTAGGTTATGTGATCTGTTGCACCTGAGTCAATGACCCAGGTGTTTTTTGTTTTTTCAGAACAAAAAAATGATGTTATTGTACCATTTTGGGCAAAAGAACAGGAAGGGTTTTCTTGGTTGGAGATTTTCTGGGTGGGTATAAATTGGAGTAGGTACTCTATCTGTTCCTGAGTGAAAGGCAGCTGTTTAGATTCAACTCCTGACTCTTGTTGAGTCTCAGTCACAGTAGTTTGTAGGGCCCTCTCAACTTTCTTCTTTCCAGCTCCTGGTGGTTTTCCATGAAGTTTCCAGCATGCTTCCCTTGTGTGCCACGATTTTTTGCAGTGATCACACCAAGGTTTTTTCTTGTCATCACTTCTGGCCACTAAAGCTGAAGAGTCCCCAGGTTCCTCATTAGGTAATGGAGTGTTGTACATGACCCTCCTCCTGCTATCTTCCAACCTGATCTCAGAAAAGACCTCTCTGATTGAGGCCAGAGGTTTCTTTCCCAGTATTCTGCCTTTTACTTCATCTAGGTCCCTATTGATCCTTGCTAGAAACATATAGACCCTATCATTCTCCTCTTTTCTTATGTCTGGCCAGATCCTTAGCACTCTCCCACTCTTCATCACCACAACATTGATCTAATTCTTGTCACAGAGATATCATTTCATTGTAGTATGAAATAATATCCCTATTTCCTTGTTTAGATTGTTACAGTTTGGTTTTGAGTTCAAATATTTGAGAAGAGTTCTCAAGATCTGAATAAGTTTCCTTAATAGAGTCCCATACCTCCTTTGCAGTTTTCATAAACATATGAGGTTTGGCAATTAAGGGCTCCATGGAGTTGAGAAGCCAAGCTGTTATGAGTGAATTCTCTGACCTCCATGTACTGTAACCTTCTTCTGCAGGTAGTTTTGGTTTGATTTCTCCGGTGATGTAACCCAGCTTTCCCCTCCCATCAATTGCAAGTCTGACAGATTGAGACCACTCCAGATAGTTTGTTCCATTCAATCTATGACTAGTGATTATCATAGATGAATGAATAGGAGACTGGTAATTTGTCACAGGGCTAATTTGAGAGTTAGGGTTGATAGTGTGTGAGGAATCAGCATCACTTGTTTCTACCATTGTTTAAACCGAGGCTCTGATACCATGTAGGTTTGAAGAATTAACCTTCCTTGAATATTATTGAGCCATCCGGCAATGATATATATACAAGTTACAGATAAAGCCTAGTTGTTACAGATCCTAAAATATAGAGAGTTCTATCTACTCTCAGTCTTATCTATACAGTTCCGGATGTACAAATAATTAAAATAACAAATACATGTTACATTTTTCTACAGGATGAAGTTGGTTAATATTCTTCCATCAAACTGGCTACTGCTGCCAAATAGTCAGATATGGTATTTGCCATATTTCCTTCATTTCAAATTCACAAAGACATCATTTCTACAGGTTTATGAAGGGGCTGTTTATATGAATCAAGGAAAGACCTATCTTGTGAAGGAAATGGATTTATCAAGTAAAATTGCTTGGTGCCAGGAAGCAGACTTGAAGTATTACACAAAAACTCGTGACCTTACTGATATTCATATCACTGGGGGTAACATTGTAAGCAAAGATCAAGGCATACATGCAATCCCCCTACTATATTACTCAAGTGCTTTTGAATTGTTTTTGCAAGTTTCATGATAATAGCCACCAGGCACACTAGTATCAATGCATTATCCTTTTATGCAAACTATTTCTCTTATTGTCTATGAGTATGTGCTATTATAAAAAGCAAGCAATTTTGGTAGATAGAAATTGCTTCCATATCCTCCCCATTCCAAAACCCAATTGAAACACCCTGTGCACAGAGTATTGTAAATTATCCGCACCTGCCATCATAAAAGGTGTTTCATTTACTGGAGTTTGTAGAAACCTAGGTATGCTCTTTATAAATTGCTGGTTGATGTTAATGATGGATGCTCATCTTTTTATTTTCAATTTTTGTTTTTGTATTGCTATTAGGCCTATCCAGCTAGGAATTTGAATGTCCCATTTGCAAGAACAACTGCACGAGCACAGGTTTGCAGAGTAACCACTACCTGGTTTGGTTTCCGCCGGTTATGGAAAAAAAGCAACCAAGTTTTTGACACCGTTGAACTGTCACTTCCAAACTACTCTTATGAATCCCAGGTGATTGCTAATTGACATACTTCATCTATGTTTTATCTTTTATAGTGCCCTCTCGCTCTTTTTTATAGATGTTATTTTCATGCCCAAAGCAGGCTGTTTGGGTTCCAGTCTCTGTGATGATAAAGAAAACAGTTGAGGCCTTAAATTATTCATTTCGAGGAGGTTTACACGCTGCTTGTCATGCTGTTCTTAATGTAGTTCCTTTGTGAGTTTTCAACATTTAAAATTTAAGACCAAAATATTTTAACGATTAGCTTCTCTTATTTCTTCCTGAACCTTGCACATATAGGTTTGTGATTTGCAATACATCTGACATAGCTTCGGAGTGCGTAAACCCTAATGACTCCCGTTATGTTCCAGAAAGAATTTTACTTTATGATCCACGTCCTGGAGGAACTGGGATTGCAGCACAGGTGAGTTATAATTGATCTGGATGATTATGCTTCTTATTTTTTGAGCAATGTAAAAGAGAATCTGGAATTGGAGAGACTAGACATGCTTCTTCCATCTGTTTTAAAATGCAACACAGTTTGACTTTTACATTTGTTAACACATAACTTTGTCCATTAATATATATAATTGTGAACTATTAAAATTATAAAAACTTGGTATTCTGAAAGTATATGTTGAGACAATCTTGACGTCATAATCAGAGGCTTTTTAAAAATCATTAGACACTATTACGAATGTTGTATTTAAAGAGACTTTCTAAAACTTCTAACAAGTTTAATATTGTAGTATATATTACGATCAATTTTAACTAATAACTTGATAAGTAGCAAGTTCTTATGGATAGTATCATTTACTTTTAACTAATATCCGTTACTTTTAATATTTATTGTATTGACGTAAACTATTTCACTCACTTAATACAACAACAACATCCAAGCGTTAGTCCCAAAAGATATTGGGGTCGCCTAACATGAATTGATACATGATATCACCACCAAAAGGAAAAGAAAGAAAATAAAGATAAAAAAGATAAGCTATTATAAAAAGATAATATAAAGAGAGATGAATATACATAAAAATGATAAAATAAAAAGGATACAAATAATGCTTATATATATAAGGATAAAAAACAAAGGAAAAAAAGATGAGGGGAAAAGATGATACGAGATCACTCCTCCACACGAATAGCCGCCCTCCATTTTGCTCTCTCCAAAGTCATACCCTCATCCAACCTCAGAAGAATCATATCACTTCGAACTCCCCTAACCCACGTCTGTTTCGGTCTTCCTCTCCCTCTCTTCCTTGTCTCTTCTCCACACATCTCAACTCGTCTGATAAGTGCATCACTCGGTTTTTTGCGCACATGACCAAACCACCCTAGACGCGACTCCCGCATCTTGTCTTCAATAGGTGCTACTCCCACTCTTTGTCTGATTGTCTCATTCCTCACACGGTCCTTCCTAGTATGCCCACACATCTAACGCAGTATGCGCATCTCTGCCACATTCATCTTTTGAATGTGACATTGTTTCACCGCCCAACACTCTACGCCATACAGTAATGTAGGCCTAATTGCTGTCGTATAAAATTTACCCTTCAGTATAGTCGGCATACCTCGATCGCATAGAAATCATGACGCACTCTTCCACTTCATCTACCCTGTTCTGATTCTATGGGATACATCTCCATCTAACTCACCGTCCTTCTGAATTATGGAGCCCAAGTAACGGAACATATCGCTGATCGTTATCTCCTTACCATCTAGAGTAATTCCGCTATTACCACTGCTTCTTCCTCCATCAAACTTGCACTCCATGTACTCTGTCTTGCTCCGACTTAGTCTAAAACCCTTGTTCTTCTTCAATGTTTGTTGCCATACTTCCAACTTTGCTTTAAGACCTGATTGGGTCTCATCAATCAATACAATATCATCGGCAAACATCATGCACCACGGTATATCGTCTTGAATTGACTTCGTAAGTTCATCTATGACTATGGCAATTAAGAAAGGATTTAGAGCCAATCCTTGGTGCACTCCGATAGTAATAGGGAACTCTTCAGTCCTCCCTGCACTAGTACGGACACTAGTAATACAATCCTCATACATATCCATGATGATGCTGATATACTTGCGTGATATGCCTTTTCTAATTAAGGCCCACCAAACAACTTCTCGAGTTACTCTATCATATGCCTTTTCTAAGTCAAAGAACACCAAATGGAGATCCTTGTGAGCGTCTCTATACTTCTCCATAAGTTGCCGAAGAAGGTGAATGGCCTCAGTTGTTGAGCGACCAGCCATAAAATCGAATTGATTCTCTGAAATCTTCACAGTTCTTCGAAGTCTTTGCTCAATCACTCGCTCCCAAAGTTTCATGGTGTGACTCATAAGCTTAATCCCTCGATAGTTGGCACATTCTTGTACATCACCTTTATTCTTAAATAAGGGGATAAGAGTACTCTTCCTCCAACTCGTTGGCATCTTGTTGTTTCTCCAAATCATGTTGAAGAAACTTGTTAACCACTCGACGCCTCTCTCTCCCAAACTTCTCCAAGCCTCGATCGGTATGCCATCCGGACCCACTTCTTTTTTCCGCCCCATCTTCCTCAGAGCTTCTTTAACTTCCGTTGTTTGGATCCTTTTCACAAAATCACGATTTACCATAAAATCACGATCTCACTCACTTAATGTAAGAAATTATTGTACTCCTATTTTTGAAAAATGTAAAATCCTAAATAGTTATTTTATTTTAATATGAATTAGGTCATGAATAAAATATATGCACTAACAGTTCTTTCCCGTGCGTATGCACTGGTACTATATTAGTTAAAATTATAAAAACTTGGTATTTTGAAAGTATATATTGAGACAAACTTAACATCATACAATCAGATGCTTTTTTAGTTTTTTTTCCTACAACATCCAAGCCTTAGTCCCAAAAGATTTTGGGGTTGGCTAACATGAATTGATACACGAAATCAGAACCAAAAGGAAAAGAAAGATGAGAAAGATTTTTTTAGTTTTTTTTTTCTAACTAATTATGGTCAAAGTACATTTTTAGCATATTTAGTTATCCTTTGAAGTGTGTATTGTGTTTCAAAATGGTCCTAGTTTGACAGATCTAGTTATCCAAAATATCTCTGATCCTTCAAACCTTTGCAGATGCAACCCTTATTTACTGAGCTTCTGACTGCTGCCTTGGAACTTCTCACATCATGTCATTGCTCTGGTGATGCTGGTTGCCCCAACTGTATACAAGTTAGTTATGACCAATATTTCAGGGATTTCACATCTAAATTATACTCCGTATATTTATCTGTATAGAATCTAGAATCCCATGCTATTTTTTTAATGTTCACTGTGTTTATGGTGTGTTTCAGAATATTATTTGTGAAGAATATAATGAGATTCTTCACAAGGATGCAGCTATAATCATACTTAAGGTACAACTGATAACTGTTATCATTTGAATTTCAAGGGGCAAGTGAAGTTTACACAAACTGTTTGTGGTCCCTCTCAATGTGTTTATGCAGGGTGTTATCCAAGCAGAACAAGTCTGTCCTTAGCAAATGTGTTTTGCCGAATCACCAACAAATGATTAATCAAATTTGCTACTCTGGGATTGCTGGATAGAGTTGAAATTCACATGTCAGCTCATTTTCGAGTACTTGCGTTGAGTTAGGCTAGTATTGTAAGGCATAATATAACCCTAGTGCATTGGAATGGAATCTTCATACCATGGTTGTGCGTGGTTTCTTAAGCATTAACCATTTGCCATGTAATGATCTTTATATTATTATTATGTCTGTTTACGTATATATACAGTTATGATATGTAATCAATTAATTCAATTGATATTTGTTGCGTAGTACTATGTTAGTACTTATATGATCTAAAAGTATAAGTGTCATCACAAGATTCGCAACATCATTATTCACCAAGTACTACCACCTTTCTATTTTTCACCCCCAAAGAGGATGTGCTTCGCTCTAATAAAAAGAGTGCTTCACCCCCAAACAGTTGCACTCTTTAGGTTGTTTTTACTTGGACCGTAATTCGTCCCAGATCAGACCGAAACAGACCAGATCAGATTAAAACAGATTAGATCAGACCAGATCAGATCATATTTTATAATTATTAGGGAAAACCATCAAATAAGCCCCCGTACTATGCTGCAAAAGTCGATTAGGCCCTCGTACTTTACAAACACTCAATTAAGTCCTCGAACTATTAAAAAATGTTCAATTAAACCCCTTCGATCAGTAAGTAATCATTTTCCCGGATAAATGTAAATTGTTTCCCGGCAGTTGCCGATGCTAGGGTTCGAGCACATCGTCGCCGTTAGGGTTGGACTCGGGCCGGCGGTTCTATATAGCTGGACCCGGGACCGGCCCGGGTAGCCACCGGGTCCGGGCCGGGTCGGGCCGAGACTCGGGTTTGGTTAATTTTTTTTTTTTTGCTTAGCTACCCATCCCTGACCCCCCCCCCCCCCCCGCCCTGACCCCCACCCCCAAACCCCTCCTAAACATCAAGCCCAACCCGGTGGAGCCCAAACAAATGAAAAAAACCAAATAAATAAATAAATTTGGCTCGAACCGGGCCCGGGCTGGGCCGGCCCGGGCCTTGTTATGGGTGACCCGAGCCCGGACCGGAAACCCACCGGGTCGGGCCTACCCAGACCGGTCACTGACCGGGCCACCGGTTCGGGCCGGGCCGGAACAGTACCGGTCCCGGGCCGGTTCCGGGTCGGGCCACCCGGCCCGAGTCCAACCCTAGTCGCCGTCGTCGTCGTTTAACCAGGAAATCAGTTACTTATCGATTAAGACGATTATTACATCGTCGCCGTCGTCGCCGTCGTCGCCGTTTAACTAGGGAAACGTTCAATTTAGCCCTTATTATTATTACTCGTATTATCATCATCATCATCATTATCATCGTTGTTGTCATCATAATCATAATCATCATTATCATTGTTATTGTTATTATTATTAGTATTATTACTATTATTATTTTTAATTTTTAATTATAAATGAATAAAAAATAATTATTTATGGATTATAATATATATAAAAAATAAAATCTTTATGCAAAAAATATAAAAAATGAAATTTCAGACCAGACCAAAACAGATCAGACTAGATTAGATTAAAATAGACCAGATCAGATCATCAAATTATAGTTCAAGTAAAAACATCGTTACTCTTTTTTGATGCACCGTTAAGTTTATATGTTGCCCTTTTTGGTTTGGTTGGGGAAGAAACCATTGTCATGATGATGACATGATGAAATTGTTGGAGGAGTAAGATCAGGATGATATCGATCGCTGATCTTTGTCATCGTAGAATGGTGCTGGCAAGGGAGTCCAATCAATCCCTTGTCAAAATACCTGCGCTTTTTCAGTTTTACTTTTTTTCTAGTCAACTTTAACTCAAATATTCAGTAAATCCTTCGATATTTTAATAGTCTCTTCGTTCCTTAAAGTTTTGGGAAATTTCCACAAAGAGACTAAAAAGGAAAATAATATCACTTTTATCCTCCTTCAAAATTTCTTTCAAAAATAGACGTGTTAAACAATTCTTTTCATAAATAGCTTAGGTCATACGAAACGATCAAAACCCATTTAAATGTTAAAGGCTGGAGGACGGGGTCTAATCCCCAATTTATCACCACTGTACCGTACAGTACTATGTACATAGATTTTGGATATTAACTTCAAATTTGTAAACACTCCATATAGCTATTCTAGTTTTGGAATTTCTTTTTTCTTATAAAACAATTGTTAAAAGTTACTCCGTATTAAAATTTAAAATATGATAATAATCTGGAAACAATAAAAGTCAAAAAACTAAAAATTGAAATCTAAATTAAAAGGGAAATAAAATCTCCAACCAGAAAATAAAAAATCAACAAATGCATAATAAAAATGGAAAATTTGAAACTTGTAAATCAAATTTTAAATAGAAAACAATGTAATTTATGTTTTGAAAAATAAATAACAAAAATTAACGAGTAGAAAAATTGAAAAATAAGACGTTAGATATTTAGAGTTAGTCTAAAATGTGGGAAAACAACAAAAAAAATTGTCATAACTTTTTCGTATAGTTAAATACTCCATAAATTATATCAAAATATAAACTATCAAAAATATAAATAAATCAAAAGTTTAAAAAATGGGTCTAAATATGGTTAAATACCCTGAAGTAACTAGAAGGTTTTATCCAAAGTATTTTTTTCAAATCGGAATACCATATACACATAAGTCTATAAAAACACATAAAATTTGAAAAACAAAATTTAAAAATTCAAGTCAAACTTTATAAAGTAAAATAAAATTGAAGAATATAAATCATAAATTTTATAAAATAAAAAACTTAGTATAATTAAAAATGTTTTAAAATATAAAAGCTAGGAAAATTTAAAATGTTTAAATTTCAAAAAGTAAACATGTTAAAAATATTAAAAGCAAGAAAAATGAAGTTTGTAATTTAGTTTTTCAAAAATGTTACTTTTTGTAGCATATTGTTTCTTTGTGTTTCTTTTTTGTTGATAACTTCTATAGTGTTGATTTTTGTTGTTTCTCCATGCTTCTTGTTGTTGTTAATATTCATAAACCAAAATTTATGATTATGTATGTGAGTGTGTGTTACTTTTTGTAGCATATTGTTGCTTTGTGTTTCTTTTCGTTGATAACTTTTATAGTGTTGTTTTTTGTTGTTTCTCCGTGTTTATTTTTGTTGATAATTTTGAAATTTTTGTTTTGTATTGTTACTTCATGTTTGTTGTTGTTAATATTCATAAAGCCAAATGTATCATTTAGATTGTGCTGAGCAGCTGAGGTAGCTAAAATAAATGAAAAAATTGAAAAGAAACACCACACAACAAAATGCAACAGTTTCAAGAAATAGCAACAATATACAACAAAACGCAACAACAAGCAACAAAAAGAAACGAAATAAATAAACACAACATGCACAAGTTTCTCATTATAAATACATAATTCAATTTACAATCAAAATCATCATTACAATTTCTTTTGCCACTTTCAAACTTTTCCTCTACCAAGTTGTAGTATTTTGTCAATCACAAAAACACTTCTTCAACCGGAGAATCGACCACCATGACCTTTCTGATCAGATTAAGGAATATACCTCTTGTGTTATAAATTATAATCAATCAGAACTCCATTCAGAATATGAGCATGAACATTGAGTATATATCGATATTAAATAAATCCAATGGAAGCACAAAACAATGAGGGAACAAAAAGGAGAGGCTAAATCATTACAACTTACAAGTGATAATTTAAACTAAATTAGTATTTTCTTTACTTTCTTCTAACTCTATTTTGGCAAATGAAAGCGCATTTCTTTTCCTGAAATAATATAACTGTAATAAAGAGCTGCTTGAAACAGAGCTATATTTTTAAAAAGGGGCTATATCAAAATTCAGTCCAGAACATTGCTACTTAATGAATGTAGTGTTAACAATTCCCACTTAATTCAAAGAAAGTAGTGATTGAACAGTTAATTGTTCAACAATCCTTCTCTTTATTTTAACAAAAACAACACACAACTAGCAATATTCCCTATTCTTCTTCAATCTCACTACTGCTACTAGCCCTTCTGATTTTGTATGGATTTATTTGCAGGATGTAGAATAGACAGGACTTTAAAGAATTTCTTCGAGAAAGAGAGTGAGAAAGCAGTATTCTCTTGCAGTCTAATACTATAATTTTATCTTAGCCTTACTCTAGTACTATACATATAAGTTTTGCTGAACCTACATTCAGTAAACTTCATGGACTTATTTAGCTAGTTAGCTTATAGGCCCAAGATGTTAAAGTGATCTCTAAAATACTCATTTTTTGCTTAGAGAACAACATAGTAGATCAACAATATTGGCCAAAACACAGGAACATCAAACGTGGAGAAGAAAGTCATGACAAATGCCACACAAAGCTTTTGTGATAACATACCTAAATCAACAGAGTTAACAAAAAACACCCCTAAAGGCTTATTTTGACAAAAAATAGCCATAGAAATCATATAACGATAACAAAAAATAAAAAATCACACGTATCTAGAATTTAGGGTGAAGGATACCAGCACTTGAATTTTGAAAGGCGGCGAATGAAGCTCTGGGTCAACAAGAGGCCACAGAAAACCAATCAGCAAATTGAGAAGGTAGATTCCTAAATCAATTGAGGGAAATCTCTTGCCTGGATGTTGGAGGAAGATCCTTACTCGGATCTGCATCAGAAAGTTCAAATCGGAAACCTGGGCAACGACGATTATGCTCAACTCGATCTGCAAATTCATCCCTTGTCCACTCTGCTATTCATCGAGAAAACCCTCTCATCTGCATCGGAAAACCTTAGAAGCCTTCGCTTCCTATTCCCAACTTAGAGACTGTCATATTGATAACATAACTGCCTGACGTTGCGAGACAAGGAATCCGAACATAACCTCATTGGCGATGCCCAATTTCGACCATGAAATCCTCATTCGATTGCTCTGGAAGCCTTCCAACGACGGGAAATATGACCTTGCTTATTTGCGTTATACGTATTATTACTTTTTTTCTATACGTATGGCGGAGATCGGCAAAACAGTCTAAAATTGAAATAAAAAAACATAATTGAAAATAGAAAAGATTAAAATGAAAATAAGAAATAAGTGAGACATAAATGATATGTGGAGTATAAAATTTGACCTTACGGGTAATTTCCACTAAAGTTTTGTCAAGTTTGATCGTCATAGAGATTAATAAGTAAAAGCCGTGTGATTAAAATTTGTGTAGATGAGAGAGAATTAACTGGATTCATAGATTATATACTTAAAAGGGAAATTGACAAAGTTAGTGGGACATCTAAAAAAGGAAAGTTAGCAAAGTTTTAATGGACGAAGGGAG